GGAGGTGGTCCGGTTTGGGAGTGGATGAATGAGTGAAAGCATTTAACATGGCAGTCAGCAAATTTCAAGTAACACCACGATGACCTGTACATTTTGGGTAGAACTGGATCTAGAAGTGAGTGAGTGAGTGAGTTTGGTTCAATTCTGCTTTGAACAGTGTTCCAGTTATAACACGGTGTCAGTATGATGTGTGAGTCAGTCAGTCAGTCAGTCAGTCAGTCAGTCAGTCAGTCAGTCAGTCAGTCACTCATTCAGTGTGACGAGTAGATGCCTGACGCACTAGGTGACCCCATCGGCCCAGTAGCATGATGTGGGAGGAGAGCCTGAAGTGATGCAGCTCGTAGACATGGGCCACTTGGGTGAAACCCACAGGCAGGGTATGAGTGGAGGAGCCTCGAAACATAATCAGGTCGAATTGTATTTGAATCCATGATCAAAGGTTTCTAGCCTGCCTAAGGGGCAGAACTGCTCATAATACTCAGCAAATCATGGCACCTTAGATGACTGGGCAATCAGGCTTGGCTTACTGACAGGTTCCTACAGCATAGCTGGTATATTGTTGACTGCGTCGTTACACAAATTTCACTCAAATATTCAAATCATATACAAACACCAAATTTGAAAATGATAGAAAATATCTTAATTGTTTCACATTGCTACATGTCACATCCGACCCGTGAAGATCTGGGATAGAATAGGTTTTCAGTAACCAAAGCTTGCAGTAAAAAGTGACGATGCTTGTCATAGGAGGCAACTAACGGGATCGGGTGGTCAGACTCGCTGTCTTGGTTGTCATCTTATCCCAATTGCGTGGATCGATGCTCATGATGTCAATCACTGGATTGTCTTGTCCACACTTGATTATTTACAGATCACCGTCATATAGCTGGAATATTACTGAGTGCAGCGTTAAACAACAAACTAACAAACAAACAAAACATATCACATCCATATTTTTATTTGCTTTCACATTTAGCCAACTTTATATTTAATTAATTTCTTAGTTATTTAATGCCGTCATCAGCAGTATTCCAGCCTTTTAATAACCAATTCTAGACCAGAAAGTCCAAAGTTATTGTGAACTATTCAGGGTATATACGATGATATGCTATCAACCAAGTCACCGAGTCTGACCACCCGATTCACTTAGTCACCTTTCACGACCAGCATAGGTTGCTGGGTACAAATTCTTACACCAAAATCCCCACAGGGACTAACTTCATCAATGTATAAAAAAAACGAAAGAAAGATTAATGATTTGTGCCACTGAGTGAACTTCAGACCTCAGTGTAATCTTCTTGTGAGGACATTATAAACAATGGCTGCAAATCAATCTGCACAAAAGCCTTATGGCCGATGACATAAAATTCAATAGCTAATCTATTTCTTAACATTCAAATCAATACAGGCCTGTGGGCATTATTGAATTTAATGAATTTTTCTCGGAAAGTAGACCTAGAGAACAATATCATAGACAGCTTATTTCTCAGAGGTCTCACTTATTATCTATAGATTTATATCTAAATTTATCAAAAAGTATAGGTGCAAATGGTTTCATATATATCTTCAAGTAAAAATACATCAACTGAACGATAATGCTCTTTTAGTCACATGTGAATTTACTTTGCTGTCATTTGTTTCCATAAATAGTTCTCTGTTTTCTTCAAGACACCTTGTAGAGGCTTTGATCTGCACATAAAACAGATAGATACAATATGCTTGGTCAGGGCTGGTAGCCTTGACAGCTGTGCCCCCAACTGTTGTCCTCAAGTTAGCGCCATGTTGTTACACTATGCAACATCCATTAAATGATTATGTTACAAAGGCTTTGTCTGTTTAATACAACCACAGGCAACTCCAGTGTCGTCAGTCAAAGAAACTTGCCTCACATTAAACCTGAGAAACTTGATACCATAACACTTCAAGTGTCGTCAGTCCCAGAACCTCCAAGCTCCATAATAAACCTGAGAAACATCCTTACATTACACTTCCTGGTGAACTGTCACAAAACTAGTCCTGTCTTGACAAACACAACCATCAGCCCACAATAAATCAATTATTAGATTTTCTGCATAATTCTTTTTGCAAATGTAAGGCGACATTAAAAAATGTTTTAAATGTATTTTTATTTAAACAAACAGTACAATTTTTTAAGGCATATGTGTTCATTAACTGTTGATGGATGTGATTCACAAGATGTATGGATGTTTGATATACATGCATCATGTACATGTATAAGGCGTATTCCACCAAGAAAAGAAATTGTTATAGTTTTCAGTAAATAAGTCTACTTACTATCATAATAAGTAGATAAATACAACATTTTCTCCAGCTGTACAAATTCTACTCATAGAATTTTTTTATTCCGATATACAAAGATTAAAAAAATAAAGGCTTGTCTCGTCATGAAAAATTCCAGTATCAATGAAACTTAAGGTCCGGCATGTGTGACTGAAAAACTGAGGCACAGACATATGGCAGAGTTTCATTCGTACAATATGCCTTCCTTTCACGCAGAACTACTTCTCGCAGAATTCCTCTATCGCTGTCGCCTAGCTGACAAGATTACTTAACAAAACCATTTGGCTACAAGAACGGCACAAATTTCACTGAAAGAAAGGGGAGCATAACACCATCTACTAACCGAACTGATTTGATTTAAAAAAAGCCATCCATTCTGTAAGGATGTCTCTTTCAACAAAGGGTAAAAAAAAAAGGGAATCCAGCAGTGCAATAAGCAGACTCTGAAGAAGCCCTTCTCCAGCCATACATCACAAGATGCGGTGGCTGGTACACTCTCGTGTACGCTACAAACCCGACACGACACAGAAACCCATTTCACCCTGCTGTTGTGAGCAACAATGCCATTTCAGTGCAGACAACTCCAAGGCGAATGTAGGCATTGACTGAAGGCTATTGCACTGCCATAAATTCTAGTTATCTAGGCAATCATTCTGCATTGAAACACACCACCCTACAAGTTTATAAGACTATTGGCATCATCAGCTGATTCCTAATTGTAGGGCGGAGGACAATATTTATGATGCTATGGCAACGTACCTCTTATGTTAACACTATCAAAGCAAGTATCTTCACTCAAAGGTCAACTGTTTGTACAGATAACAGTTCACAGAAAACAGTGTGTTGGTAATTTCAAAGCTGATGTCATTGTTTAGAAGGACTAGGAGTAAACCACATCTATTAAATATTTAATACTTGACAGTCCGGAAATTCTTCAGAAAAATAACATTGCATTTGAATTGGAGGAAAATCGTTTTTTATATTTCCTGGATCACAGATTTTTTTGGAGTCGGAGAAAGGAATTTCATAATTAAAGAAATAACATTAGTGCCCCAAATCACATTTTTTCTTTGAAGACTTCAATGAGGAGGAGTCAAGAAACTGAAGTTACAAGAAACCAGCCATGGCTGATCATTTGGCAAACTTGAGCATCCAATTAATGTTGAAGATTTCAGTACTGAGAAATCACAAAATGTTTTGAATGTGTGACTTGTCCCTAAAAATAATTTTACTTCTATTCTTGATGAAACTAGGGTCGATGGTTCAGTGATCAGAGCAATAAAAAAAAACAATAATGACATAATTTGTGAAAATACTTCATCATTATTCAATGGATAGCATCATTATGGCATTATTTAACTATTTCATAACTTCATTCTGGTGTTAATAAACAATTGGATGACATCATGCTGGTGTTTATAAACAATTGGATGACATCATGCTGGTGTTTATAAACAACTGGATGACATCATTCTGGTGTTTCTAAACAACTGGATGACATCATTCTTGTGTGTCAAGACAGTTGGGTGATGACATTGAGGCCAAGCATGCAACTCAGATTGTTTTGAACAACAAAACAAAAAATGTGACTAAACATGTTGTATGTTCCAAAATATAATGTGTTGTTGTTCAAGAAAAATGTTTGGTTTCATTTCAGAGAAAATAATGGCATGTCTTGTAGCACTGAAAGATAAATTATTCTCTCTTAAACAAATCCCAGCACACAGACAGACAGACCCATGCCTCTCATCAAAGTTACATTCAAGCAGTAACCTGACAGAATGTCTGCTTATTTCATGGACCCTGGTATCCGTGAGAGGTATTTTCATAAGGGCCGTAACACAATTACTAAGCTATTTGTTCAGATTTCCTATTCAGGTCTCTGTTCATCAGCACTGACATTTGCCATAATATTTCTGAATGATTCAGTCCTGTGGCCCAGCTGGTCCTCAGTTGGGTAAAGTGCTCCATTGCTAAATAAACATTAAGTCTGACTTATCTCACAGATTTGGAAGGATTTGACTGAACAAAAAAAATAACGAATCAAATCAATAAAAAAAAGTAACACTCCCTCTACTCATGCAAGTCCCAGATCTTGTTGTCCAGATGTGACTTTTATCTCCAAACAATAGCATGGTGGTCTTGTGTCAGTGAATTTCTGGTAAATGTTGATTCTTTATCAAGAAGCAGAGCTAGAATATTTAGTTCTAGTCTGAGCCATTATGACTGGCGTCAAAAGCGTTGTCAGGGCTTAATGGCTTTGAGAACTTTGTGGAGAGTTATCACTTCAACTTATAGTTTCTATGACCAGGAACACTGGCTTTCCTCACTGATTAACAGAAATAATAATACGTGATCTAGTATTCAAAGATGTAATTTCCACAAATTCTGCCTTGTCTGCCATATCAGCCCAGCCAAATTAATTTTCTGTTTTGATGTTACTGAAACATATAACACATTTCACCAGTGCAACCTTAGAGCAATGCTTGTAACTGGCAGGTCTTACGCCCCAATACATATCCATAATGTATCCTCAGGAGCAGTAGGAAGAATTAAAGCTTGGAAGGTGTAGGGACTAGAATGAGTTAGTTTCTTAGGCTAAATTATATATTACCTTTTACTATACTTCTATATTCAAAATGTTTTTTATGCTTATCTGGAGATAAACATCCAACTTAGTCAATACTTCTACTTTTCAGATAAACAAGCCAATGCAGTTGAAGACCTAATTCTCGGAGTATAAATTGTACAAAATGGCCATTGACATGGGATTCAATGAAACCCTTCAACAAGAAACCAAACTGGAGGCGTACTCAGTGGTGTTGTCAGTCACGACGCTGTTGCTGGCCGCCATTGGAGGAGGAGCAGGCAGCCTAACAGTCATCTGCGCCATCCTGGAGGGCAAGTCCATCCACAAACTCAGCTACTCCATTATCCTCGTCCTTCTGTTCGCTTGTCTGGTACTCGACCTGTTGTGGACTCCGCAGGAGATTCTTCACCTCCTGTACTACCACTACACATATCAGAACCCTACCCAATACTTCAAAATATTTGTACATGGGATGTACCTGTTGTTGTCTATCGTTATGGCTGTCGCCATTGTGTTTGTGTCCGCGGAAAATATCTTCCGACAGTGCAGTCACATGGGAAAGATGTTTCAGAAAATATGGTCCATTACAGGAAGCATTACGGCTGTGCTGGTCGGCCTGTGTATGGCTGGCTCGTACCTGGTCATCTCCACGCAGAATGAAACCAACGTGCCGGAGTATTTTGTCGTCTTCAATAGCCGTTCGTTCTGCATGAAAGTGGTGATTCTTGGAATCTTTACGTTTCTTGTTCTGGCCATCATGTTGTGTGTCATCTTCAGTGCAATAATACACAAAAAGCATTCTGGAGGTTTCCATGGCAACAGCAATAGCGGATGTAAACACCAGGTTCCGACTCTTCTGATACGAGACCCCGAAGGCAACCCGTCTGAAGACGAGTCGGAAGACACTCCATCTGTCCATGCAGCCTCCCCTCTGCCCCTCCTGGCTATCAACGCTGCAGGCGGGCCAAGCAGAGACGGACCTATGCCCATATCACCCAAAAATAAAAATATGCTTGGCGTCAATATGACCCAGATCCTGGGCCGGCGGCGCCACACAATCTGTCAGATTGGTGACTCCAGCACAAACTTCATGGATCCTGCGGAGAAGGCTAAAAAGTACACCTATGTTAGAAAGTTTTCTGTGGATATATCAGCCCTTCAGGCTCAACTGGAGAATCCAAAATTATTCAGTGGCAAAGCACCATTTCAGTCTGACACAGATCTGCAATCCAAGTCTCGCAATAATTCCCAGAAAGGTCGGCTTCCCTTGAAGACACCAGTGTTGAAATTTGATGAGAAAGATGAAAAGGTAGAAAGCGAGGAGGTGAAAAACGATGTTCGCCCGATGTTGCCGTTGATTACCGTGTCAGACGACGAGGGAACAGAGAAGGAGGAGGTGGATGCTAAGTCAGAACACGAGAGTGTGGAAGAAGGGAGCGAGAAGGACAAGACAACCTTGACCTTCAAACTTCCAAACATGTCTGAAGAATGTCATGGCAGTGATCATGAGAGTTTGCATAGTTTTGACAATGACTCCACCACTGATCTGACTCTCAGTTTCACCAAACTGTCTTGTCTTCTGTCCGTGACATTCTGTCTGTGCACTCTCCCCCTCTTCCTGACTGAAGTACTACGAAACCATCTCTCCACCATCGCATACATCAACATCACCACATGTACGCTTGCCCTGTCCACGATACAAACAATCATATACCCACAGGTCATCATCTGCATGGACAGTGTCGTACACCGCGCCGTGCATAAACTCTGGATCCGATTCCTGCGGCGGTGTCGATGCACGGCGGCCAGCATTGATGAGGATGGGGAGGAAAACAGGACAAATTTGAATACTGACACAAGCCAGGTGTAAATACATATCCCCATGAATCCCATCCTCGATTATCCAGTGTATTTACATCAACATCATATTTCAATAAATACGCAGGACCCATCTTTTATGATAAAAAAAAATACATGTCCAATTTATGATGTGACACATTTTTAAAATCATATTCAAATCATATTATGCTAATGAGTGAGAGAATTTCTTTGCTATTTAGTTAGAGACAGGAGAGATGGAGAAAGTGATGTCACAAACAAACAAAGATGACGAATGGACCCTGAGTATTTATCATAATATTGTTTCTTTGTTTGTTGATTAACGCAACACTCAAAAATATTCCAGCAATATGACGGCGGTCTGTAAATAATTGAATGTGGACTAGGCAATCCAGTGATTGACATCACGAGCATCGATCCACGCAATAGGTATACAATGACATGCATCAACCAAGTCAGCAAGCCTGACCACCCAATAGCGATATCTTCATGGGTCTTTTATCATAATAGAATGGCGACACAGTACTGGATGATCGAGGATGCATGAATATCTTATCTTGTGAATGTTGTGGTCAAGTTTTATACCAGATGAACATGGGCGGCTATTTGTGTATCTTTATACGATGCTCGGCATAAGGTTGTCACTAAATGCACTTTATATATGCATATATGGACCTGTTCAGCGTGTTCAATGTATGTATGACTGTTTGATGGCATGTAAACTTATAGCAGTAAACCTTTACACACTATCACATCTTTTATTCTATTTATGCACAGGCTCAGTGGTAGAAAATAATCATGATATTTTTTCTTAAAGCTGGCTAAAATGATCTGCACAGATATGTCATCTAAAGTTGAGGAGTGAGAGAGTATGGTTTTACACCGCTTTTACCAATATTCCAGCAATATCACGGCAGGGACACCAAAAATGGGCTTCACGCATTGTACCCATGTCGGGAATCAAACCCGGGTCTTCGGCGTGACAAACAAATGCTTTGACCACTAGGCTACCCGACCGTCCGTCCACAAGGAAATGTCAACCGTCCTTTCCAACCATGGGACATATGTTTAACGTGAAATAACCTTCACAGTCAATTAACACCCCAAGACCATAGGGGGATTATCTTTATTTCTTTACCACAGAGAAAAGAGTCCACATAGAAACATCAAATTCAGGCATCTATACACTAACAAACTGGAAGGGCAACATCGGGTGTCATTTCAATATAAGGAGCCACCATTCAAGATGAAGTCTATAGTGTCTCCCAGATGTGAAACGATACATAAGGTCCTGATACGATACATATATCATGATACATAGGTCCAATGTGATACGCATCACTATTCATCGTCATGATATGTTACGTATCACGTTGCACATATATACGTCAAATCACACGGAAACTTCTGGACTGTAAATATTTCGTAGCAGGTCCAAAAAGAAAAGCAAACTGTACACGCATGATCGTAGCGGCTATTTTTAGTAGTGAACTTGAAACACATTTTACAAAATCGCTGATGATTACACAAGTAAGAAGTACTTTATTTCAGTAGGTATATTGCCTGTATTGATACCGAAAACAAATGTATCGTGTATCGTATCATCAGTGAGTGAGTGAGTGAGTATGGTTTTACGCCGCTTTTAGCAACATTCCAGCAATATCATGGCGGGGGACACCAGAAATGGGCTTCACACATTGTACCCATGTCGGGAATCGAACCCAGGTCTTCGGCGTGACGAGTGAACGATTTAACCACTAGGCTACCCGACCGCCCCTTATCGTATCATCAAATGAAAAGTCATGAAACACTGGTGCACCAACGTATCGTTTCACCCTCCATTCTATTCTGATAAATACCCTGGACTCATCAGCAATCAATGGTCTGTTCACAAGTGACATTCTCATCTCCATTGCTCCTGTCCAAACTTAGAACTTCAGCATATAAGAGTAATTTGATTTGATGGCTATTTTAGGCATTCTGATGTTCGTATCAGACTTCAAACAAAGCAATCTTGGTGAATTATGAGATATTTATCCAAATAAAATCGGGTGATATGACACTGGATAACCAAAAGATGAGAATCAGAGTACTACATCTAAAACTTGCTGTGGGTTTAAACTTGATTTCATCAGTCAACATTTCACTTCATGACATTTCATTTATTATTATTATTATTATTATTTTATTGGGTAAATGTTTCATTTAGTTTGCTTTTCCATTCTTGTTGAGAGGTTGTGAACCTTTGTGTCCAGAGAATGAAATGAACATTATGTATGCACTTTCTGTAACTCATAAATCACCTTCTTTTGTGTTGTTTTTATTTCTTTGCGCTTTTTTTCTGAACTTTGCTTGTCGCATTGCCTGTAAAACATCCACATGGATGAGGGTTAGCACCATATAACGATCTATAATGGAAAGTTTATAATGTTGTCTCCTGCATTCATATCTGATGAAATACATTTGTTAATGAAGTGACATACTCATATTGGCATTTTGATGTTTTATGTTATGACAAGTTTCCATGGCAACAGTTATCTGACTACCCTTGCGCGTCCCCACTTCCATAGCGTATTACAAGGTAGGACTCGGTAGTTACGACCAGGGGACAAAACCATACAGTGTTCTTGTACTGCCGGTTCACCACTGCTATCTTACACATGATAGGTCAATGTCATGTGTAGATATTTCCCACAGATGCATGGGAGTTCACGATATATGGAAACATAAACGGTGTGTGCTTAACTTTTTTCATTTTTCAAGGTGTATAGGTCTGTGTTTACATGTTACTTCAGCAGATGCTCATGCTGAGGATAGAGTCGGAATCTTTACATTCGACTCTGTTTCGGGCAGCGATTTCTTGTGAATATGGAAAGAGTCTTGTCGCTTTTATTTGAATGACATCTGTATAAACGTCAACAGTGTCATCAGCATTGAGTGAGTGAAGGGGGATTACGACCAGCACCATAACCGAAACCAACATCCTTGGTAAAAGACAGGCATTTTGTGACTTCAGTGTGTTTGATGACACTCTATTAAGCCAGCACTGATGGAGGAAACATAGCACAATGGCCAGTTTATCACCCCACAAACACAAACTGATACTAAACATTTCAAATGAAACAATATTACCCCCAAAATTGATTCTTGTGATCAAATGGATTCCAGGATTAATGTTCAGTGAATAATTACCCCAGGTCTTTTCTAGTTTTTGCTCCTTTGAGATTCACTGACAGAAGACAGTGATTTTGCCTGTAACAAATGGCATTAGCATTTTTTCAGAATTTAACAGAATTGCCACAGGCGATATCACTTGTGATATTACGACAATGAGATTGTATTACAATGCATCTCAGGTTAGTGTGACATCATCAGTTACCATGACATCACAAAGAAATGATATCACCGTGATTGCCTCTGCCACTGAAGCTGATTTTGCTTAACCTATTACACCCAAGACACTGGTTATTAACTGCCTAGGAAGAATGATTTTGAATGACAATAAAATCTCACTCTTGTGTCTTAAGATAATAAAAATATCAACATTTGTCAACAAAGTTTAAAGCACTTTGGCAAGCATCAGAGATCTAAACTTTTAACGACTCATTTTGAAACATCTGATAATAAAAGACACAAGGAAGAGATTCGCTATCAGCGGTAGAAACTAACACTTTTAGTCTACTAGTACTTATCATGATAACATGTAGCTAAACCCTTAAAAATGACAAATTTCTACTAGTCCTTATGATACCTTAACTATTGGGCAGTTTGGCAAGGACTATAGGACTAGTGCCAATTTCTAGCGCTGGCTATATTATCATGACCTAATCGGAAAAAAAGTGTACAGGACACTTTGGATAACAATCAGTCCCTGACCTAGAAAACTGACCAATCTGAAACCCTGAAGATTATTTTTTGTGCCCCCAAATCCAGTGGCCGATATTATTGTATGAGCCAAAAAATCCAATGAGGATTTAGTGGTTATAAGGTTGTATCAGCAAGGCCAAGTGTTCCAGCTTAATTGGCATGGCATGTTCAAAATACTACAGCAATGAGTCCAAATTCTATCTTTTCATGCGCTACTTTTAGAGCGTGTTTGTGTTTGTTGTTTATGCCATACTCAGCAATATTAAAGCAATATAACAACAGCCTGTAAATCATTGAATCTGGACCAGACAATCCAGTGATTGAAATTATGAAAATGATCCAGTACATCACAGTACGACGACACACAATAAACCTAGTCACCGAGTGTGCTATTTATAGAGAAAAAAGAAAACAATGCAAACATATATGTCTTTCACTCAATTTCTAACATGCAGACATTCATCCTACTGACAACATGAACCAATAAAGTTTGTGTAACCATGAAGTGACGTCAAAGTATAACAAGGTTGGGGCACTAAATACTGATTACAATCATTTTCGCAATTGTCAAAAATCAACCTGTCAGAAATGAGAATTAATTAATATCTTGTTTGACATGAAAGCTGTATATTTGATTTTTTAAACTTCTCAGCCGGCTGTACCACATCATATGTGCGATAAACTGACTTCAAATATGTTGTTATGGAACAACTGACGACATCTGTGAAAACGTCCTGAGGCTGTTGTGACACTGCTGACTCCCAACCATCACTCATTCACCTTCATGTTTCCATACTTTCTCAATCATAATAGCAACATAGGGCATGAATAATGAAATAGTTTTTTTAAAGACATCCCAACATCCCATTCAGAATTATAGTTCAAACAGGCTTTTTCTAAAAAACAAAATATTTTTGTACTTTCGAATATTAAGGAGACAATTCAAAGTCTTGACAGCTGTATGTTGAGGGTTTCTTGACATCAGAAATTCCCAGACAATGGGGAGCCTCTATGTTTGCTCTTTAACACAGACAACCTTTTTTAGCCCCACAGAATCAGAAGTAACCATAGAGGTTTGGTGTTGACACATGTTGTGGCAGTGTTCTGCTTCCATTTGATAATGTTTTCATAACTGTCACTAGCACACACATGTCATGGTGACTTGATCGAATCAAATGATTTGTTTTGGGAACAAACATGGCCATTGATTCCTTACAACATTCAAGCCAGATGTTGCGGACGCAACATGTCTAGGCATAGCTTTCCACCAGTCCGCCTTAGCTAATGGGGACCTGTTCAATACAGGGCACAAGACTCAGTGGAATAAGCCTATATCTAGTTTCACAATCCATGGATTGATTTTAAAAGGAAGAAAAAAACTTGCTGGCTCTTGCGATCGTAATGTCTCAACGAGGTATTAAAGTCTTAAAGTTGGTGGAGTTGAGATATAATGTTATTGACAATAAGAGAAAGCAGGACACATATTTGGATGCGAATATTGATTTGGA